CCTGGAGACTAGGACACAATGGAGCCATGGCTTCAAACTACAAGAGAGGAGATTCCATCTGAACATGAGGAAGAACTTCCTGACTGTGAGAGCCGTTCAGCAGTGGAACTCTCTGCCCCGGAGTGTGGTGGAGGCTCCTTCTTTGGAGGCTTTGAAACAAAGGGTGGATGGGCATCGGTCAGGGGTGATTTGAATGCAATATTCCTGCTTCTTGGCAGAATGGGGTTGGACTGGATGGCCCATGAGGTCTCTTCCAACTCTTTGATTCTAGGATTCTATGATAACAGTACATAGATAGAGGTATATAGGCTTTTCCCATCTCCGGCGTCTTGGAGGTTGTGCTCGATTCCGGCCACAGGGTGGGGTGGGGGTTGCTGTCGCTCCATCCTCCTTGCCAAAGAGTCCTCCTTTTTGATCGAATCGCTGGCATTTTCCTGGTATTTCCTTATGAACTGTCAACCTTTCGATTGGCAAGATGTATTGCAGCTGGTGGTTAACCTGCTGTGCCAAAGCCCGTCCCTGTCTGCCATGTGGATAGGAGGAAACCATGTTGCCCACCCCTGCCAGAAGCACGTATCTCTCTTATTAACTTGCTCTTAAGCTAGAGAAATATTAATCCCTTTTTGTTTTTTCATTTTCAGTTCAGGTTTCCTGTAGATCCCATCCTTTTGCTCCAGAACTGACCATCCCACCTTTTGCGTTCAGCCCATTCTCCATCCCAGCACCCGTTTGTCCATCTCTCCTCCTCCTTCTTCTCCTTCTTCCCCAACGTCCTTCCCTCGCTCTGTTTTCCTGTCTTGAGACTGTGTTACTTGAATATCCTTCATGAAGGACTCGGCAGCCATTCCTTCGGAGCGGATGAGAGATGTCCTTTGGCTGAGCTTGTGGGGACGGATATATTTGCATATGTTTGCATCTCATTAATGTGTCCGGATAGAGAATGCATGAAAAGCAGCATGCTTGCTAACTGGCTGCGTCACCGCATCTAAGCCCTGTTGCAAGGTCTATCACGAAGGCCAAAATGCTGTTTGCAAGGAATCTTCTTTTGACATTTCCTTTCCAACAAGCTTTATAAGGAGTCATTCTCATGCAACCATGCCCTGCCCAGGAATTGTATTTTTATTTTTTTGCTATATATTAAACTGGTGTAATACTTCCTGGATACTTTCTAACTGGGAATAGAAGGGAAGATACAGTGTTTGCAAAAGCTGTGACAGTTGCAGTCCCTACCGTCCTGGGAATGTTTACAAAGGCAAATCCCATTGAGTTCAGTAGGATTCAGGGTTTGCCTCGAATTGCAGGTGCGGAGCGGATGCAGTTGGCCCGATATTAGTGCAATAACTATATTGGTGCAACTGCAATAACTTAGCCTACTTCTGGGTCAATCCGAGCGTGGGAAGCTTCCTTTCCTTGTTCTTAAAGGTCCCCCCTTGAATTATCCTACCACGAATAGCTCTGTGTTGTTGTGTTGTCTATATATTTTTGATGGGAAACCCTTTTTTAAAAATTAAATAAACGTCTTTCCGACAATAATTCCAGTTAATGCTTTGTTTTTGTTTTGTTTTCCTTCCTTTTGCCCTTTCTTTCCTTTTGCAGCAACCCATGGCTGTGCACTGACTAAATGGGACCTTCCCTTGTCTTAACAGGCTTTTTCCACCAATGAGATAATCTAGAGTCATATGTTACAATGACTGTTGTTTATATATACATATATATGTAAAAGAAATGGTTGTATAGTGGTGCCTATGTGGTTATATGTCATGTAAAAAGAACAGTATGGATGCTAGGATGTTGTGCTAAGACAAATGGGTTGCTCGCCTGCAAAACAAACTGTCCTTTTTGGAGCAGAGAGATAAAGTGCCGCAGTCGTTTGCTTTTGGAAATCTTGTTTTTGGGGAAATTTGGAAAATAAGCCCAATTCCATGTTCTTCCAAAGGCGAAGGAGATTAAAACACAGCACAGGAAGGGATTAAATCTCTCACCATCCTATTCTTCCTCCTTCCCTCCTTCTTTCTCCTTTCAGCCTTCCTTCCCTTCCATCCTTTCATCCTTCCTTCCATCCCTTCCTTCCTTCCTTCCTTCCTTCCTTCCTTCTTCCCTTCCTTCCTTCCTTCCTTCCTTCCTTCCTTCCTTCCTTCCTTCCTTCCTTTCTTCCCTTTTTTCTTTCTTTCTCTCTTTTCCTCCCTCCCTTTTCTCTCCTTCTCCCTCTTCCTTCTCTTACACCCTTTCCCTTCCTTCCTCCTCTTTCTTCCCTCCTTCTCTCTCTCCTTCTTTCTCCTCCCTCCCTCCCCTCCCTCCCTTCCTTCCCTTTTCTTTTTTCCTTTCTCTTCCCCCCTCTTTCTCTGAATTCCTTTCCACCCTTTCATCCTTCCTTCCATCCCTCTTTCCTCCCTCCTTCCCTCTCTCCTTCATTCTCCTTCCTTCCCTCCCTCCCTCCCCTTTTGTCTTTCCTTCCTTCTCTCTTTCCTCCCTCTTTCTCTCTTTCTCCCTCTCTCCATTCCCTTCCACCCTTTCATCCTTCCTTCCATCCTTCATTCCTCCCTCCTTCCCTCTCTCCCCTTTTCTCCTTCCTTTGCTTCCTTCTCTCTTTCCTCCCTTCCTCTTTCTCCCTCTCTCCATTCCCTTCCACCCTTTCATCCTTCCTTCCTTCTCTCTTTCCTTCCTCCTTCCCTTCCTTCCATCCATCCTTCTTCCTCTCTTCCTCCCTTTCTTCCTAATCTTTTTCCTTCCTTCCTTCCCTTCTTCCTTCCCTTTTGTCTTTCCTTCCTTCTCTCTTTCCTCTCTCCCTCTTTCTCCCTCCCTTCCAACCTTTCATCCTTCCTTCTTCCTTCCCTCCTTTCTTTCCTTCCTTCCTTCCTCCTCTCCTCCTTCCCTTTTCCCTTCTCTCCTTCCTCCCTCCTTCCTTCTCTTCCTTTCTTCCTTCCTTCCTTTCCTTCTCCTCCTTCTTCCCTTCCCTCCTCCTTTACTTCTTTCCTTCCTTCCATCCTCCTCCTCCTTCTTCCACCTTCCTCCCTCCCTCCCTCCCTCCTTTCTTTCCTCCTGGGGGATGTTGAGCTGGGAGAAGAGAAGATAGAGAGCATGAGAACCATGTCCCAAGATGTTAAAGTGTGTCCCATTATTTTTGTCTATACCTATTTTGTCCGGATCTATACTGCTATATCATGCAGTCTGGAACTGCACTATATGGCGAGTGTAGACCCGTATAAAATGCATTTAAACTGCATTATTTTGTTCTTCCGCAGTAGAGGTAACCAAGCCAGGTTGAGCTTCCAGAATCAGGAGAGAACACGATTCTCTTCCAAACCAAGCCATTCTGTGCATCCCCCCAATCTCCATTGTATGCTTTTAGTGTTTGCACTAATCTGGAAAACAACAACAAAAGAACGGTGTGTTGTCAATGTGCTTTTGCAGTTACATTATTATACGACAATGTGCTTGACAGTCAGAGGCTTATCGTGTGTGGTTTCCTATTGCCTTCGAGGTGTAACAAACAAGCTCGGATCTGCACATCATTCTCTCAACTCGGGGCTCATCCACACTGTAGGATTAATGCGGTTCGACACCGCTTTAAACTAGTATGGCTTTATGCGATGGACTCCTGAGATGTGCAGCTTTGGGCACTCTAAGGCCCCTTCTACACTGCCATATGTAATCCAGATTATCTGATTTGGACTGGATTATATTGTAGTGTAGACTCAGACCCCTTCTACACTGCTATATAATCCTGATTATCAGCTTTGGACTGGATTATATTGTGGTGTAGACTCAGGCCTCTTCTGCACTGCTATATAATCCAGATTATCTGTTTTGAACTGAATTATATTGTAATGTAGTCAGGCTAGATCTACACTGCCATATAATCCAGGCCATTTGCTTTGAACTGAATTATATTGTAGTGTAGACTCAGATGCCTTCTACACTGACCTATAATCCAGATTATCAAAGCAGATAATTCATATTATCTGCTTTGAATTGGATTACATGAGTCTACGCTGCCGTATAATCCATATTATCTGCTTTGGACTGGATTATATTGTAGTATAGACTCAGGTACCTTCTACACTGACATATAATCCATATTATCAAAGCAGTTAATCCAGATTATCTGATTTGAACTGGATTACATGAGTCTACACTGCCATATAATCCATATTATCTGTTTTGGACTGGATTATATTGTAGTGTAGAATCAGGTGCCTTCTACACTAACCTATAATCCAGATTATCAAAGCAGATAATCCAGATTATCTGCTTTGAATGGGATTACATGAGTCTATGTTGTCATATAATCCATATTATCTGCTTTGGACTGCATTATATTGTAGGATAGAATCAAATGCCTTCTACACTGACCTATAATCTATATTATCAAAGCATTATCTGCTTTGAACTGGATTATATGGCAGCATAGACTTATGTAATCCAGTTAAAAGCAGATAATCTGGATTATCTGATTTGATAATCTGGATTATCTGATTTGATAATCTGGATTATCTGATTTGATAATCTGGATTATACGCCAGTATAGAAGGGGCCTGAGTGTACACTATAATATAATCCAATCCAAAGCAGATAATATGGATTATATGGCAGCATAGACTCATGTAATCCAGTTCAAAGCAGATAATCTGGATTATTTGATTTGATAATCTGGATTATAGGTCAGTGTAAAAGGAGCCTCATACAATCTAGTTCGAACCAGATAATCTAGATTTGATATGACAGTCTAGAAGGGACCTGATATAATCTCGTTCAAAGATTTGATAATCTGGATTATGTGGCAGTGTGGATCCATTTTAGAACTAAAGTGGTGTCAAAAAGTGCTTTAATTCTACCAAGTAGACACCCTTTTGCTCATGTCTTGGGAGCTTGTTTTCTGCTTATTCCCTGTCTCCTTTTGCATTGAATGTTCCATTGTCCCCTTTGCTCTGCTTTCTAATTGTTTGTTTCTCTCTCTTTCTCTCCTTCTTCTTCCTTCCTTCCTTCCTTCCTTCCTTTAGCTTTTTCTAATCTGTCTGGCCTGCCTGCCTGCTGCAATGTGAGGGAGAAGAGGTGCCACTTGTGAGGAAGCATTGCTTAGGGATTTCCCACCGGATCGGGAAAGAGGGAGGGGGAAAAAAGCAAAAAGAGAGGAATAAATCCGTAAGTCTGAAAAGATAACCTTAAAAAGACATGGTTTGGGTTTGGGTTTTTTTGTTGCTGTTTTATTGGCTTTCCTGGCCCTGCATGGAGTGTCGTCGTTCCTTCCTTGTTTTGGGAAAATAATAATAATAACAACACACAACAAGAGAGTTTCATGCAACGAGAAGATTAGAAAAGCGAACAGTTTGCAAAGAGAGAGAACGTCGTATTGATTTCGAAAGACGGCGGAGGGAATCTCACAGTGTGTGGACCAACAACAACAACAATAATATTGAGACAGGTGTTTTTAATTGTGATTATTTCCACCCTCTTTTTAACATTTCCCTTCCTCTTTTGCCTCGATATAGATAGGATGGGTGTTTATTTCTCCTTGCAAAAATAATAATAATAAGGTATTCCTGTGGAACGGTTATGCTCATTTGTTTTGGATTTTACGACCTTTTTATGCAAACGAACAGAGAAAAAAGTGACTTTGCTACCTCTGAGGAATTGTTCCACTTACGACACCGAAGTTTTAAGGAGGAAAACAAGGGGAAAGATGAGAGGAAAAAAAGGGGAAAAAGCAGGGGCAGGAACCGTCTCCATTGAGTGATATTCCTGATGCAAATCAATCACCGCACTGGCCCGCCTTGCAGGGCTGTTGTAAGGACGGCTACAATAAATACAACCGCTTTTGGGAAGCAGTATATAAACACTCTCTGTATTTTCAGTGGTAGATTTTAGTGATGGATCTGTTTTTGTCCCAAACTCAAAAGGAGTCTACACTGCCCTATAATCTGAAAATCTGCATTATATTGACCACAGTATATTGACCATACGATGCAGTTTGGACCATATTATATTGACCATATGATACAATCTGAACTGCATTATATTGACCATATGATACAATCTGAACTGCATTATATTGACCATATGATACAATCTGAACTGCATTAGAGTGACCGTACAATGCAGCTTGGATCGCATTATTTTGACCATATGATGCAGTTTGAACTGCATTGCATTGACCATACACTGTAGTTTGGACTGGATTATATGGACCATATGATGCAATTTGAACTGCGTTATATTGACCATACAATGCCATTTGGACCATATTATATTGACCATACGATGCAGTTTGGGCTGCATTATATTGACCATATGATGCAGTCTGAACTGCAGTGCATTGACCATATGATACAGTCTGATCTGCATTATATTGACCATACGATGTAGTTTGGACCGCAATATATTGACCATATGATGCAGTCTGTACTGCATTATAGTGACCATACAATGCAGCTTGGACTGCATTATACTGACCATGTGATGCAGTTTGAATTGCATTGCATTGACCATAAACTGTAGTTTGGACTGCATTATATGGACCATATGATATAGTCTGAACTGCATTATATTGACCATACAATACAGTTTGGATTGTATTATATTGACCATACGATATAGTCTGAACTGCATTATATTGACCATACAGTAGAGTCTGAACTGCATTATATTGACCATATGATATAGTCTGAACTGCATTATATTGACCATACAATGCAGTCTGATCTTCATTGCATTGACCATATGATGTAGTCTGAACTGAATTATATTGACCATACAATGCTATTTGGACCATATTATATTGACCATACAATGCAATCTGAACTTCATTATATTGACCATATAAAATATAGCTTGGATTGCATTATGTTGGCCATACAATACAGTTTGAAGTGCATTATATTGGCCATACAATGCAGCCTGCTCTTCATTGCATTGACTATACGATACAGTCTGAACTGCATTGCATTGACCATAGGATGCAATCTGAACTACATTATATTGACTATACAATTCAGTTTGGACTGCATTATATTGACCATACAATAGAGTCTAAACTGCATTATATTATACAGTTTGGACTGCATTATATTGACCATACAATAGAGTCTAAACTGCATTATATTGACTGTACGATGCAGTCTGAACTGCATTGCATTGACCAAACAATGTAGTTTGGATTGCATTATATTGGCCATACAATACAGTCAGAATTGCATTGCATTGCAATATAATGCGTCTGATCTGCATTATATTGATCATACAATGTAGTTTAGACTGCATTATATTGGCCAAACAATACAGTCTGAACTGCATTGCATTGACCATATAATACAGTCTGATCTGCATTATATTGACCACATACAATGTAGTTTGGACTGCATTATATTGGCCATACAATGCAATTCAAATTGCATCACATGCCAGTGCAGATCCGGCCTAAGAGTGCATCTACATTGTATTACTAATCCAGTCTAACACCACTTGTACTCAATGCTCTGGAAGCATAGGGGTTGCATTTTTCCATGGTCTTGAGCCTTCTCATCTATTATTCCATTGCACTGATTCAAGGCCATTCAAGCGGTGTCAAAACTGTGTTAACTCTGCAGTGTAGACGCACCTTGAGGCACTGGTTTCCCAAACTCTGTTCTAGGATTCAGCAAAGCAGAAGCTTGATCCTCCTTGAAGTCATTGTAGCTTAGGTACGGGCAAACTTGAGTCCTCCAGGTGTTTTGGACTTCAACTCCCACAATTCCTAACAGCCTACCGGCTGTTAGGAATTGTGGGAGTTGAAGCCCAAAACACCTGGAGGGCCCAAGTTTGCCCATGCCTGTGAATCTAGCTTCCAATCCTACCTTTGTTTTTGGTCAAGTATTGGGTCTTTTTGTTTACTTCCTTCCTTGAATGAATGTTTACTTCCTCCCTCGCCCCTCCTGCCCTTGGAACGGTAGGTCAATGCATGGTGGGGGGGTCTCAGTGGTTTGTTTGTTTGTTTGTTTTCCTCTCTCCCGGTTTTGTTTCTTAATCCACAAGAACTTGTGATTGATTGATTTGACAGCCGCACTCCGTATCTATTTACACAACCAGCACTGTCGAGCCCCATACCTTTCTAATGTTGTCGATTTTCAATAAAAAAATAATAATAACCCTCCCAAAAATACGATGGTGTCGTCTCATTAATATTATTGGTTTCGGGTTTCTCTTTATCCGATGACGTCAATCATTTTCATTTTGTATTTCTGCAATATATATATATAATACTCAAAAAGGCACGGCATTAAATTGGCATTAAGTGTCAACATACGAGAAGCTCGGACTGTCATTAAACATCGAGAAAACTCAAGTGGTCTTCCAGCAATCGCCAACCAATCCCTCTCCAATGCCAGAAGTACAGCTTAATGGTGTAATGTTAGAAAATGAGCTCTGCGAGTGCAGCATTCCTCCGTATAAGCTCTGCAAGTGCAGCATTCCTCCGAATGAGTTCAGCGAGTGCAGCATTTCTCCGAATGAGCTCTGTGAGTGCAGCATTCCTCCGAATGAGTTCTGCGAATGCAGCATTCCTCCGAATGAGCTCTGAGAGTGCAGAATTCCTCCGAATGAGCTCTGAGAGTGCAGAATTCCTCCGAATGAGTTCTGCGAGTGCAGCATTCCTCCGAATGAGTTCTGCGAGTGCAGCATTCCTCCGAATGAGTTCTGCGAGAGCAGCATTCTTCCGAATGAGGTCTGCGAGTGCAGCATTCCTCCAAATGAGCTCTGAGAGTGCAGCATTCCTCCGAATGAGCTCAGTGAGTGCAGCATTCTTCTGAATGAGCTCTGCGAGTGCAGCAGTCCTCCCGAATGAGCTCTGTGAGTGCAGCATTCTTCCGAATGAGCTTTGCGAGTGCAGCATTCCTCCCAAACGAGCTCTGCGAGTGCAGCATTCTTCCGAATGAAGCAGAGAGTTTTTAAGGGCCGCAACATCTGTAGGGAGACCAAGGTGACCATTTCTGCTTCCTTGGCAGCCATCTCTCCACAAAAGTCAACATTGACACCGAAATACAACACCGCCTGTGCTCTGCGAGTGCATGAGCTCTGCAAGTGCAGCATTCCTCCGAATGAGCTCTGCGAGTGCAGCATTCCTCCGAATGAGTTTTGCGAGTGCAGCATTCCTCCGAATGAGCTCTGCGAGTGCAGAATTCTTCCGAATGAGCTCTGCGAGTGCAGCAGTCCTCCGAAATGAGCTCTGCGAGTGCAGAATTCTTCCGAATGAGCTCTGCGAGTGCAACATTCCTCCGAATGAGTTTTGCGAGTGCAGCATTCCTCCGAATGAGCTCTGCGAGTGCAGAATTCTTCCGAATGAGCTCTGCGAGTGCAGCAGTCCTCCGAAATGAGCTCTGCGAGTGCAGAATTCTTCCGAATGAGCTCTGCGAGTGCAGCATTCCTCCGAATGAGCTCTGCGAGTGCAGCATTCCTCCGAATGAGTTTTGCGAGTGCAGCATTCCTCCGAATGAGCTCTGCGAGTGCAGAATTCTTCCGAATGAGCTCTGCGAGTGCAGCAGTCCTCCGAAATGAGCTCTGCGAGTGCAGAATTCTTCCGAATGAGCTCTGCGAGTGCAACATTCCTCCGAATGAGTTTTGCGAGTGCAGCATTCCTCCGAATGAGCTCTGCGAGTGCAGAATTCTTCCGAATGAGCTCTGCGAGTGCAGCAGTCCTCCGAAATGAGCTCTGCGAGTGCAGCATTCCTCCGAATGAGTTTTGCGAGTGCAGCATTCCTCCGAATGAGCTCTGCAAGTGCAGAATTCTTCCGAATGAGCTCTGCGAGTGCAGCAGTCCTCCGAAATGAGCTCTGCGAGTGCAGAATTCTTCCGAATGAGCTCTGCGAGTGCAACATTCCTCCGAATGAGCTCTGCAAGTGCAGCATTTTTCCAAATGCAGAGAGTTTTTAAGGACAGCAACATCTGTAGGGAGACCAAGGTTACCATTTCTGCTCTCTTGGCAGCCATCTCTCCACAAAAGTCAACATTGACACCGAAATACAACACCGCCTGTGCTCTGCGAGTGCAGCATTCCTCCGAATGAGCTCTGCAAGTGCAGCATTCTTCTGAATGAAGCACAGAGTGTTTGAGGTCCAGGACATCCGTAGGGAGACCAAGGTGCTTGTTTATAAAGCTATTCCCCTCCCAACCCAGCTCTACACCTGCGAAACGTGGACTGTCATACACAACTCCTGGAACAATTCCATCAGTGTTGTCTCAAAAAAAAATCCTGCAAATCTCTTGGGAAGACAGGCGGGGAAATGTCAGCGTGCTGGATGAAGAAGCAAAGACCACCAGCATCGAAGTGATGCTCCTCCGCCATCAACTCCGCTGGACCAGCCACGTTGTCCGGATGCCTGACCACCGTCTCCCAAAGCAGCTGCTCTGCTCTGAACTCAAGAATGGAAAACGGAATGTTGGTGGGCAGGAAAAGAGATTTAAAGATGGGCTCAAAGCCAACCTTAAAAACTCTGGCATAGACATCGAGAACTGGTAAGTCCTGGCCTTTGAGCGCTCTTGCTGGAGGTCAGCTGTGACCAGCAGTGCTGCAGAATTTGGAGAGGCATGAATGGAGGGCGAAAGAGAGAAACGTGCCAAGAGGAAGGCGGGTCAAGCCAACCCCGACCGGGACCACCCTCCGTCTGGAAACCGATGCCCTCACTGCGGGAGAAGATGCAGGTCAAGAATAGGGCTCCACAGCCACCTACGGACCCACCGCCAGGACACCACATCTGGAAGACCATCATCCTCAGGCTACAAGGGATTACCTAAGTAAGTAAGTAAAGTAAGTGTCAGCATCACAACAAACAGTTTGTTTCTCTCTAGTAACCTATTGTTTTTCCACATTTCATTAAGATTACTATGCAATTTATGGAAAGTTTATTCACACACAGAATTATCCTGGCAATTGCAGAAGTAATTTAAGATCAGGGTTGTTATGAGTTTTCCAGGATGTTTCAGAAGCATTCTCTCCTGGCATTTCACCCACATCTATGGCAGGCATCCTCAGAGGTTGTGAGCTCTGTTGGAAACGAGGCAAGTGGGGTTTATATATCTGTGGCGAGATGTCCAGAGTGTCAGACATCTTTCCAGATGTCTTGTCTGCTTGAGGTAAGTGTGGATGTTGCAATTGGCCAGCTTGATTAGCATTGGATAGCCTTGTAGCTTCAAAGCCTGGCTAGTTGCTGCCTAGGGGAAACCATTGTAGGGAGGTGTTAGCTGGCCCCGATTGATAGAAAGAACTACGGTACGTCTCTAAAACTTATATTTACACGGGACTGTGTTTAGCCATGCCTGTGCCTTTTGAATGTGAAACTGCAAGAGCAAGAGGAAAACTGAGAATACAGAGGAAACAATCAGGGCCAGCTAATACCTCTCAACAAAGGATTTCCCCCAGGCAGGAAGCAGCCAGGCTTTGATGCTGCAAGGGCATTCAATGCCCATCAACACTGCCATGTAAAACTCCAGATTATCTACTTTGAGCTGAATAATATGCCAGTGTAGTCTCATATAATCCAATTCAAGGCAGATAATATGGATTATCCTGTTTAAAACCGAATTCCCTTCTACACTGCCATGTAAAATCCAGATTATCTGCTTTGAGTTGAATAATATGCCAGTGTAGACTCATATAATCCAGTTCAAGGCATATAATGTGGATTATCCTTTTTTAATACTATGCCACTTCTACACTGCCATGTAAAATCCAGATTATCTGCTTTAAATTGAATAATATGCCAGTGTAGACTCATATAATCCAGTTCATGGCAGATAATGCGAATTATCCTTTCTTAATACGATGCCACTTCTACACTGCCATGTAAAATGCAGATTATCTGCTTTGAGCTGGATTATATGAGTCTACACTGCCATATAATCCGGTTCAAAGCAGATAATCTGGGTTTTACATGGATGTAGGTCCCTTCTACACTGCCACATAGTCCGGATTATTAAAGAAGGTAGGCTAAAGATCTTGCAAAACAACAACTCCCATTATCCCATCGCATTAAGGATTATGAAAGTAGGTAGGCTAAAGATCTTGCAAAACTACAACTCCCATTATCCCATTACATTAAGGCATGACAGTTCCAGCGGCATTCCTTCTGCAGTCTAGACAGTTGTGATCTCGGGTACTGAATGGATTAAAAAGAATGCGTCCACATTGTAGAGTTAGCGCAGTTTGATCCCACTTTGAACGCGCTCTTCTTTCTTTGAGGTGCGCCCTCTGTAGGGCGAGAAGCACAGCCGTGACGTCACCCTGCACGGCGCCCCGCCCTCTTCTCCTCTGATTGGCCAGAAGGGGCTCTCAGGCGCCACGCTTCTCTCCCTCCGCCCTGATTTCCGCGCATGCGCTCTTTCCTTCCTCTCCCAGGTGCTGAAGACGTTTTCGCTAGGAGTCTCTACTGCGCATGCGGGTTCTGAGGAGTTTTCCCCCCTCGCTGTTCTAGAACTCCAATATGCTGATGACAACGTCGTCTGTGCGCATTCAGAAGAAGACCTACAAGCCACTCTAAACACCTTCTCATTGGGGTCTTTTCCAACTGTATGATTTATTTATTTACGACATTTATATGCCGCCCTTCTCACCTCGAAGGGGACTCAGAGCAACTTACAATTAGTATATAAATACAATATATTATATTATTAGCATAGTACAATATCAGTATTATATATTACTATATTATACTATGCCATTATACTGTAATTATAATATAATATAATAATAATATTACATGTAATATAAAATATATAATTATAATATTGTATTATTAGTAGTATTAGTATTATATATATATAGTATTACATTACATTATAATATTATAAATATTATATGTATATACAATATATTATATTATCTATATAAATAAAAATGTAATGTTCGTTTGTGGGATTAACAGAACTCGGGAAACCGCTGGGCGAATTGGCCCCAAATTTGGACACAAGACACCTGCCAAAGCAATCTATGTCCTTCACTAAAAAAAATAAATGATTTTGTCATTTGGGAGTTGTAGTTGCTGGGATTTATAGTTCACCTACGATCAAAGAGCATTCTGAACTCCACCAATGATGGAATTGGGCCAAACGTGGCACACAGGACTCCCATGACCAACAGAAAACACTTAAAGGTTTTGGTGGGCATTGACCTTGAGTTTGGGAGTTGTAGTTCACCTACATCCAGAGAGCACTGTGGACTCAAACAATGATGGATCTGGACCAAACTTGACACGAATACTCCATATGCCCAAATATGAACACAGATAGAGTTTGGGGGAAAATGGACCTCGACATTTGGGAGTTGTAGTTACTGGGATGTATAGTTCACCTACAACCAAAGAGCATTCTGAACTCCACCAATGATGGAACTGAACCAAACATGGCACACAGGACTCCCATGACCAACACAAAACACTAGAAGGGTTTGGTGGGCATTGACCTTGAGTCTGGGAGTTGTAGTTCACCTACATCCAGAGAGCACTGTGGACTCAAACAATGATGGATCTGGACCAAACTTGGCACGAATATTCCATATGCCCAAATATGAACACAGATGGAGTTTGGGGGAAATGGACCTTGACATTTGGGAGTTGTAGTTACTGGGATTTATAGTTCACCTACAATCAAAGAGCATTCTGAACTCCACCAATGATGGAATTGAACCAAACGTGGCACACAGGACTCCCATGACCAACAGAAAACACTAGAAGGGTTTGGTGGGCATTGACCTTGAGTTTGGGAGTTGTAGTTCACCTCCATCCAGAGAGCACTGTGGACTCAAACAATGATGGATCTGGACCAAACTTGGCACGAATATTCCATATGCCCAAATATGAACACAGATAGAGTTTGGGGGAAATAGACCTTGACATTTGGGAGTTGTAGTTACTGGGATTTATAGTTCACCTACAATCAAAGAGCATTCTGAACCCACAACAACAGAATTGGGGCAAACTTCCCACCCAGAAACCCCATGACCAACAGAAAATATTTAAGGCAATGAAGTCCAACTCCCTTCACCAGGGTATGAAAACGTAAACAAAGCCCTCCTGACAAAAAGCCATCCCGCCATAGATAGAGCTAGATATCTATGATTCACACGCACAGAGATTTGAAAGGGACCCCTAAAGAAGGACAATTATATGTTGTATGTTCCAGAGTAGGCAAACTAGACAATCTCCACATCAAAACTGACAAAGAAACAACAAGAAATACTGTTTACCCACAAGTATAAAGGAATTACACATATTAGAAACCAACACTTTATTTTCCAGATCAGCAGACTGGGCCACAGCAACGCGTGGCAGGGGACGGCTAGTATCTATATAAATAAAAATGTAATGTTCGTTTGTGGGATTAACATAACTCAAAAACCACTGGACAAATTGACACCAAATTTGGACACAAGACACCTCTCAGGCCAACAAGTGACCATCACCCCTAAACACACACACACATACACACACACAAAACCCCAGCAGAACAGACTTAAAACTTCAAAAAATACACCATATATACATATACATTCATATACATATATGCATGCACACATTCATACACACACCCGTATATATACATATACACAAACACACACAAATATACACATATACACACATACATATACATACACACATATATATATACATATACACATGCAGACACATATACATATACACATATATATACACACATATACACACAAATATGCATATAGACAAGCACACACATACACACAATATGTATGTACACATATAAACACACAAATACACAAATATATACACACACACACATATAAACACATAAACACACACATATGTACACACACAAATACACATATATACACAAATATATACACACACATAAACATATATATACGCAAACAAACACATATACACACAAATATGCATATACATATACACGTGCACACATACATAAACACATGCAAACACATATACATATACACATACATACACACACATATACACACAAATATGCATATAGGCAAGCACACACATATACACAATATGCATGTACACATATAAGCACACAAATACACAAATATATACACATATACACACACATATATACACACACGTAAACACAAATATATATACACATACACACAAACACACATATATACATACACAGACTGGGCCACAGCAACGCATGGCAGGGGACGGCTAGTATAAAATATATAATTATAATATTGTATCATTATTAGTAGTATTATATTGTATTACATTATAATATAAATATATTATATTATATTATATGTATATTTTATTATATTGTATTATATATTATATTTTATATATTGTATTGTATTGTATACTGTATCATACTATATTATACTGTACTATATTATATTATAATATTATATAATTTTATATAATATTATGTTATATTATATTATATTAGTAGTAGTATTATATTGTATTACATTATAATATAAATATTATATGTATATACAATATATTATACTATATTGTATTGTATAATATAATATAACACAATACAATACAATACATAATATAATATACAATAATATAATATACAATAATATTTGTATTGTATTATATAATACAATACATATTATGTTATATTATATTATGTTAGATTATGTTATATTATATTATATTGCACTATATTGCATTGTATTGCATTATACTGCAATGCATTATATTACATTATATTGCATTATATTATATTGCATTATATTATATTATATTGCTGTTGTTCATTCGTTCAGTCGTCTCCGACTCTTCATGACCTCATGGACCAGCCCATGTCAGAACTCCCTGTCGGCCGTCACGACCCCCAGCTCCTTCAAGGTCAGTCCAGTCACTTCAAGGATGCCATCCATCCATCTTGCCCTTGGCCGGCCCCTCCTCCTTATATTATATTATAATATATATCATATATTATATTATATTATATTGCATTATATTATATTGCATTATATTATATTGAATTATATTATATTGCATTGTATATATTGTTGTCTATTGTTGTGTCAATATTGTATATTATGCTTTTATGGTTTTAAATTGTATATCGTTGATTGATTCTTATCCTTGTTGTAAACCACGTTGAGTCGCCTGTTGGGCTGAGAAACTGCGGTATACAAGTAAAGTAAATAAATAAAGTAAATTGTATTTTATATTATATTATATTATATTATATTATATTATATTATATTATATTATATTATATTATATATTATATTGCACTATATTATATTGCACTATATTATATTTTATTGCACTATATTATATTATATTGCACTATATTATATTTTATTGCACTATATTATATTATATTATATTGCACTATATTATATTTTATTGCACTATATTATTTTTATATTTTATATTTTATATTTTATTTTTATTGCATATTTTATATTTTATTATATTATATTATATTGCACTATATTATATTTTATTGCACTATATATTATATTGCACTATATTATATTTTTTTGCATTATATTATATTATATTGCACTATATTATATTTTATTGCACTATATTATATTATATCATATTGAACTATATTATATTTTATTGCATTATATTGTATTATTTTATATTATATTGCATTATGTCATGTCATGTCATGTCATGTCATATCATATCATATCATATCATATCATATCATATCATATCATATTATAGAAGTGAGAGCCAGGGACTGATGTGGGGCATGCTCAGCCTGTGATTCCTCCGTGCCTGCAGGGGGCGCTGTGGCGGAAGAGGGCGCCCGCTGCATCCCGGAAGAGGCGCCTCCTCCTTGCTTCCTTCCCACGTGAGGAGGCGGTGTAACAAGGGGCCTGAGGAGGAGGAGTAGGAGGAGGAGGCTGAGGTGCCGCCACCGCCGCTTGTGCACGTGTGAAGGGCGCCGAGCGACGCGTGTCAGGGCCCCGATGGAGGCGGAGCTGGAGTCGTGGCGGGAGCCGCAGGAGAGCGAGGGGCTGTGGGCGCTGCGGAGGCGCTTCCTGGAGCGGAACCGGGCGGGCTTCGAGGGAGAGGCCGCCCAGAGGAGGCTGCAGGCCTTGTCCCAGGCCTGGGCCAACCACCTCTCCATGGGGTGCAGGTCAGAAGAAAGGCCCTTGCCCACTCCCTCCCTCCCTATCTCCCTCCAGGGGGTTGGGACTACAACTCCCACTATTCCTCACAGCCGGTAGGCTGTGAGGAATGGTGGGAGTTGCAGTCCCAACCCCTGGAGGGAGGCTCCAAGCTGTCCCAGCCCTCCATTCATTCCCTCCTTCTGATCCCAGCTATTCTGCTTCCTGGCTTTTTAAGTTTCATAAATGCCTTATAGTATTATTATTATTATTATTATTATTTAATTTTGGGTCATTATTCTAAGTCTTCCTTGTTGTGTTTTTGTTTTTCGACTTGATGTGTGTGCTTGGTCTGTTTTTGGTATTGTCACTTTTGTGGGAAACCGCCCCGAAGTTCCCTTGAGGAGACAGGCCGGGCTACAGATACAGTATTGTTGTTGTTGTTGTCATTATTCTAAGTCTTCCTTGTTGTGTTTTTCTTTTTTGACATGATGTGTGTGCTTGGTCTGTTTTTGGCATTGTCACTTTTGTGGGAAACCACCCCGAAGTTCCCTTGAGGAGACAGGCCGGGCTACAGATACAGTATTGTTGTTGTTGTTGTCATTATTCTAAGTCTTCCTTGTTGTGTTTTTCTTTTCCGACTTGATGTGTGTGGTTGGTCTGTTTTTGGCACTTTTGTTGGAAACCGCCCCGAAGTCCCTGGGTTACAGATACAGTATTATTGTTGTTGTTGTTGTTGACAGGGCGGGTTACAAATAAAGAGTTGTTGTTGTTATTTGGAAGGTTGCTCACCAGCTTGCTACAGGAACCAAAAGCAACACTTTCCCTAATAGAAAGGAATAAGGAATAGTTTCCTACTAGGAAGGTGTATGTATTATTTACACCTATATACACACACACACACACATACAAAATATGTCTATTACAAAAGTGTATATATATATAGAGAGAGAGAGAGAAATACTTTTCTAATAAAAAGTACATATATTTTGTACTAATAAAAAGTACGCACGCACACACATATATATACATACACACACACACAGTATTGTTGTTGACAGGGCGGGTTACAAATAAAGAGTTGTTGTTGTTATTTGGAAGGTTGCTCACCAGCTTGCTACAGGAACCAAAAGAAACACTTTCCCTAATAGAAAGGAATAAGGAATAGTTTCCTACTAGGAAGGTGTATGTATTATTTATACCTATATATATATATATATATATATATATATACACACACACACACACACACACACACACACACACACAAAATATATGTCTATTACAAAAGTATATATATATATATATATAGAGAGAGAGAGAGAGAAATACTTTTCTAATAAAAAGTACATATATTTTGTACTAATAAAAAGTACATATATATATATATACACACACACACACACACAGTATTGTTGTTGTTGTTGACAGGGCGGGTTACAAATAAAGGGTTGTTGTTGTTGTTATCTGGAAGGTTGCTCACCAGGTTGCTACAGGAACCAAAAGGAACACTTTCCATAATAGAAAGGAATAAGGAATAGTTTCCTACTAGGAAGGTGTATGTATTATTTACACCTATATATATATATATACACAAACACACACACACAAAGTATATATGTACTTTCTATTGGCCTTTGTGAGCTGCATCGATTCCTGTGGGAGATGCTAGCGGGGTACAAATAAAGTTTAATAATAATAATTAATAATATATATCTATATATATATATAGAGAGAGAGAGAGAGAGAGAAATACTTTTCTAATAAAAAGTACATATATTTTGTGTGTGTATATATGTGTACATATATATATAGTGTATATATATGAGAAAGAAATACTTTCCTATTAGAAAGTACATATATTGTGTGTATAGTGTGTGTGTGTGTATCTCCTAATAGAAATTACATATGTATTGTGCACGTGTGTGTGTGTGTGTATATATATATATATGTAGTATATATAGAGATAGAAATACTTTCCTAATAGAAAGTACATATATTGTGTGTGTATGTATATGTATGTATGTGTGTATATATATATAGAGAGAGAGGGGGGGAGTGAGAGGAGAAATACTTTCCTAATACAAAGTACATATATTGTGTGTGTGTATATATAGTATATATACATATATATATAGAGAGAGAGAAATACTTTCCTAATAGAAAGTACATTTATATATATATATATTGTGTGTGTGTGTGTGTGTATAGTATGTATATATATATACTTTCCTAATAGAAATTACATATATTGTGTGTATATATCTAGTACATATATTTAGATTATATATAAATATATATAGAAATATTTTCCTAGTAGAAAGTACATATATTGTGTTTATAGTGTGTATGAATACTTTCGTAATAGAAAGTACATATATTGTGTGTGTGTATATATAGTATAGAGAGAGAGAGGAATACTTTCCAAATAGAATAGATAGATAGATAGATAGATAGATAGATAGATAGATAGATAGATAGATAGATAGATAGATAGATAGATAGTATATGTGGGTGTATATATATGTATAGAACACAAAGTGGCAGTTGAGAACCTTGGCACAACGCCGCTTTGCTGCTAGGTCTGGGACCAGAAAATGTCCTGGATTTTGGGTCTATATGCACCTGCATCCTAGAGATGAGCCCAAGTCTAAACATGACGTTTCATTTACATTTTGTATACATCCAAATTTATAGAAGTATTTTTAAAATTATTTTGTGTGGTGACATTTGAGTCCGTTGCACCATCCAAAGGCAAACGTGTCACTATCTCAGACAATTTGGGATGATTTTGGACTTCTAGATAAAGGATCCTCAATCTATATTGACTGGATGTTGTAGGTCTTCAGATTCCACATCACTTTTCGTCCCTGTCAAAATTGGATTTTGGAAAGTATGGCTTGTTGTGGAAACAAGGATTGGGGATAAAGAAAAGGGAGACCCCTTTTCCCCATGACACTAACTCTTCCAGGAGTGGATTTCCCTTCTTCGAGGTAGATTCCTCCCACTTCCTGTTGTCATTACTCCTGCTCTCAACTATGAGTTGGATGTATGTAACTTGGGGACGGCCTGTAACTGGAAGTTTTCTTTGCTTCAATGCAGGTACAGCCCCCAAGTTATGGAGAAAATTCTCCAAATGGCCGAAGGGATTGACGTGGGTGAGATGCCGTCCTTTGAGTTGGTGCCGGACTCCAAGGCCAAAAAGAGGCCGCGTTCTCCGTTGCAGGACGCTTCTTCCCACAGTGAGTATCCAAGGACCGGCTCTTCGAATAGGGCCATTACTGTGGGGCAAAAGGTCTGCAAGGAGGTGTGACATCACCTACCGTATATACACAAGCATAAGACGACCCAAATATAAGCCAAGGCACCTTATTTTACCACAAGAAACTGGGAAAATGTATTGAGTCGAGTAGAATCCGAGGGTAGGAAATGCAGCCGCTACAGGGACATTTCAAAATAAAAATAATAGAGTAATATAATAAATGTAATAATAATAATGATGATAATAATAATAATAATAACAACCACAACAACAGTAATAGAGTAAATTAATAAATTTAATAAAATGATATAGTAAAATAACAAATGTAATAATAACAATAATAGAGTGAAATAATAAATGTAATAATAATAGAGTAAATTAATAAATGTGATACATGATATAGTAAAATAGTAAATGTAATAATAATAATAGAGTAAAATAATAAATGCAATAATAATAATAATAAATAGAATAAAATAATAAATGTAATACTAGTAATAGAGTAAAATAATAAATGTAATAATAATATTAGAGGAAAATAATAAATGTAGTAATAATAGAGTGAAATAATAAATGTAATAATAATAGAGTAAATTAATAAATGTAATAAATGATATAGTAAAATAATAAATGTAATAATAACAACAATAATAGAGTAAAATAATAAATGCAGTAATAATAAATAGAATAAAATAATAAATGTAATACTAGTAATAGAGTAAAATAACAAATGTAATAATAATATGAGAGTAAAATAAATGTAGTAATAATAGAGTGAAATAATAAATGTAATAATAACAACAATAATAGAGTAAATTAATAAATGTAATACATGATATAGTAAAATAATAAATGTAATAATAACAATAATAATAATAGAGTAAAATAATAAATGCAGTAATAATAAATAGAATAAAATAATAAATGTAATGCTAGTAATAGAGTGAAATAATAAATGTAATAACAATAACAAATAGAGTAAAATAATAAATGTAATAAAAATATTAGAGTAAAATAATAAATGCAATAATAATAATAAATACAGTAAAATAAGATGTAATAATAGAGTAAAATAATAAATGTAATAATAAATACAGTAAAATAAGATGTAATAATAGAGTAAAATAATAAATGTAATAATAATAAATATAGAGTAAAATAATAAATTAAATCATTATAATAGAGAAAAATAATAAATGTAATAAATATAATAAAAATTATAATAGTAAAATAATACATAACCTTGACTCGAGTATAAGCCAAGAGGGGCTTTTTCAGCCTTAAAAAGGCTTATAACCAAGTATATACAGTACTTTTTTAGTTCTGTGTGTGTGTGACATCGGGCTCATATGACTTGCAACCTGCAGAGAGAGCGAGGTAGCACTGAGAACGTTGCATTAGAACTCAGAAGAAAAGGGATCAGTCTGGTGTCCCAAATGTTGGTCCTCCGCATTTGCGGATACACGGGTTCTGGGCAAATAAATGCCACTGATGTGACACTTGAAGGAACCTGAGTCCCAGTTTAGAAATGGGTATTTCCAATGTTAAACAAATCTAAGTGATAGGGCGGGTTGGTGAAATATATACGAAGGCATGGGTTGTTTTCAGGGCAAGTAGTATGCCCTTGCTTCTGGCCAAATAAAAATAAATAAAAATAAAAAGGTGGCCAAGAACATAGCCATATAATCACACTTTGTATTTGTTTTGTATCGTTGTTTTGATTCTCCTTTGAGACAGGAGTAGTATTTATATCAGGCACGGGCCAACTTCGTTCCTCCCTCCAGGTGTTTTGGACTTCAACTCCCACAATTCCTAACACTCCTAATAAACAAAGGTTTTACCACTTGTGTCCCCATAGGTCTTGAGGCCCCGAGGAAGCAGGCTCCCAAATTCCGTGCCCGGCCTCGTTTCGAGCCCATCCACTTTGTCGCCAGCAACGCCCAAGACAAAGTTAAGGACCAGCCTTTGGAAAACCAGGCACAGCCCGCCAGGAACAAAATCACCACCCAGCAAATCCAAAACTACGCTGATCGGGTTTTCAGCAGCTTCAGTAACCAGGATGGGGACTCTCTGCTTCCACGTTCAACGGGCTTAGGCTATGGAAGCAGCCAGCCAGAAGACAAGGCTGCTTCCAAAAACACTTCCGTTCCGAGCGTTGTTCCAAGTGTCGTCCCAAGTGTTGTTCCGAGCGTCCCTGCGGCTGCGAGTGAGCCTTCTGCTCCCCAGTCCGTCTCCGAAACATTTCCGAAAAAGGTTATAAGCGGCAAACAGACTTTCATTAACAAGCTCCTCACCGCCGTCCGCATGTACCTGGCTAGCACCCAAACCGGCGGAGGCTCGGAGAAGATTAACTACACGTACCTGTTGACGCGGTCGATACAGGCCTGCAAGACCAACCCCGAGTATATTTATTCCCCCGTGAAAGATCTTTCCCCGGCAGATCTACCCGAGAGCAAAAAGCACCTCAAAGACGGCTTTGCCTGCGAGGTGAGGTGCCAGGACGTGTACTTGGCCACTGGGTATGCGGGGAGCAAGAACGGCAGCCGGGACCGGGCCACAGAGCTGGCAGTGCTTTTGTTACAGAAGCCGGTTGAGGTCCAGGTGACCCAGCGGAAGTTCAAGGGCGCCCCGCGGGAGGACTTGGTGCTCTGTGAGCGCGACAAGACACCCCCTGAATTCCCACCGTCGCTCAAGCAGCTGGATTCCCCCATCGTGGCCGCGAAAGAGGCCTCCCCCGGGGAGCCGAGCTCCGACCCCTTGCAAGGCCCCAGTTCGGGGAAGCACTGGACGAATTTTGTCCTCACCGAGAACGCCAGCGACTCCATCGGGATCCTGAACAACTCCGCTATCTTCAACAAGATGTCGGTCGAATACAAGTACACCTTGCTGCAGAACCGGTTGTGGCGCTGCAGCGTCTACCTGGAGGACCACTGCCTGGCGACAGGATTCGGCACCAAGAAGACCAGCAAGCATGCCGCCGCGGACGAGGCGCTCAGGATCCTCCAGAAGACGCAGTCCAACGCCGGAGGCAACAAACCTGCGCTGATCCAGACAGTGTGTGGCAGGACCTTTCGGGGTTCCAAGAAGGACTTGAAGGACCTCGTCATCTACGAGAACTCCCTGAACCCTGTGTGCACCCTCAACGACACTGCACAGTTCAACAAGATCACAGTGGACTACGTCTTCGAAAGGATGAAGGGTCTGCGGTGGAAGTGCAAGGTGATGCTGGAGGACAAGCTGATCGCCGAAGCCGTCGACGTGAAGAAGACCGTCAAACACTTGGCGGCCGAGGAAGCGGTCAAAGTCCTGAAGAAGACGCAGCCGACGGTGGTGAACCACTTCAAGAAGGGCACCGTCGAGGACGTCATCTCGAGGAACGAGATTCGCGGGCACTCTGCGAACGAAGCCCTGAAGCAGCAGATCAAGGAGGACAACATCGGGAACCAGATCCTCAGGAAAATGGGCTGGACGGGCGGCGGCTTGGGCAAAACTGGCGAGGGGATCCGGGAACCGATCGCCGTGAAGGAGCAGTTCAAGAGGGAAGGCCTCGGCATGGACGTCGCAAGGGGGGGCTCCAAGATCACCAAGAAGGACATTGATAAGATCATCCAAAACTACGCCTTCTCGGACAGCAACATCGACTTGACGTTCTCCACCGAGCTCACCAACGACGAGCGCAAGCAGATCCACCAGATTGCCCAGAAGTACGGGCTCAAGAGCAAGTCGCACGGCCAGGGACGGAACCGGTACCTGGTGGTCAGTCGGAAGAGGCGCAAAGAAGACTTGCTGGACCAGCTGAAGCAGGACGGCCAGGTCGGCCACTACGAGCTCATCATGCCTCAGGACAAATAAGGCCAAGGTCACAACTGGACCTCCCCCATTAAACAAAGCAGGCTCTCTAGTCTTGTGTGGAAAGAATAACTATGCGGAGAAAGTGTGGCTGGTCATCTTAAAAGTTAGAACTTCTGCATCCAAACATCCATTAGTGTGGTCACCTGGTGGGGAGAAGGCCCACTTCCTCCCCATTTCACTGGTTTTGCAATTACAGGAACACGTCTTCCCAGAGGAAAACCTGGCAGCATTCTTGTCACAAAGGCAGGATGGCGCCCTTGTGTTTTGAAAAAGGAAGCCCAGGTGGGAACGAAAACGGCAGTATGAAGTATCCTCTATGTAAAGCCGGTTATAATAAAACAAAATAGATTTTTATTTCTGGACATGCAAATAATGGCACACTTTCTATTGAAAATGCTGGGTTCTCTTTGTCAGGAAGGTGTTTGCAGCCCACTCCTCCACATGCAGCCTTCTTACCATGAATAGCGTTGTTGTCTTCAATTTACTGAAGGTTTGGTGTTCTGCTCCCTAACCATGGTAGCAGACACTGCAGGCTGGTCCTATATGTTTCTATGGGGCAGAATTGCCAAAAGGACACATTCCCATTGAGGTCTCTGGGCCCCCAATATGGCTCATGTAGAGCTGGACAGGCCTCCACACATTTGAGGAAGGGCCTTTTGATGCCAGAGTATTTCAGGAAGAGAGGTTTCCTCTAATTCTGTTGTGTTCAGAATTGGGCCAAAAAGCAAACTGCTAGGAGGTGATGGAAGGGAAAGAGGAAGCAGAGAAGGAAGGAAGGACAAAAGGAAGGGAAGGAGAAAGGGGGAGAGGGAAGGAGGGAGGAAAAAACGTCGAAAGGAAGGTATGTTGGAAGGGAATGGAGGGTGGAGGAAAGAGGGAAGTAAGAATGAAAGGGTGGAAGGAAGAAAAGGAAGGGTAGAAGGGAATAGAGCGAGGGAAGGGTGGAAGAGGGTGGAAGGAGGGAAGAAAAGGAAAAACGAAAGAGTGGAAAGGAAGGAGGGAGGAAAGAGGGAAGGAAAGGGTGGAAGGAAGGAAGGGTAGAAGGGAATAGAGGGAGGGGAGGAAGAGAGGGTGGAAGGAGGGAAGAAAAGGAAGAATGAAAGGGCGGAAGGGAAGGGAAGAAAAGGGTGGAAGGAAGGAAGAGGGAAGGAAAGAAGGGAGGAAGAGAGGGTGGAAGGAGGGAAGAAAAGGAAGAATGGAAGGGAAGGAGGGAGGGAAGGGAAGGAAAGAAAAGGGTGGAAGGAAGGAAGAGGGAAGGAAGGAAAGAAGGGAATAGAGGGAGGGAAGGGAGGAAGAGGGTTGAAGGAGGGAAGGAAAGGAAGAATGAAAGGGTGGAAGGYAAGGAGGGAGGAAAGAGGGAAGGAAGGAAAGGAGGGAAGGGAGGGAGGAAGAGAGGGTTGAAGGAGGGAAGAAAAGGAAGAATGAAAGGGTAGAAGGGAAGGAGGGAGGAAAGGGAAGGAAGGGTAGAAGGGAATAGAGGGAGGGTGGAAGGGAAGGAGGGAGGAAAGAGGGAAAGACAAAAGAGAAGGAAGTAGATGGAGGAAAGAGGGAAGGGTGGAAGAGAAGAACGGATGGAAGGGGCAGGAGGAAGAGAAGGAAGGATGAAAGAGGAAGGGAATGGAGGAAGAGGAAAGGAGAGGGAAGAAAGGAAGCAGGGAGGAAGACGGAGATAAGAGAGGGAAGGAGGAAGGAAAGAGGGGTAGGATGTTTAGAGAGGAGGACCTGAGAAGAGCTCAGAGGGCTACATCCAGCCCCAGGTTTGCCCATACCTGTACTATACTGTTTTCTTACACAATTTCTTGTGCGTCTCAAGAGGGAGATCAGCAAGGAAAAGGCTCTCTTGCTGCTGCAGCAAACTTTCTTTTTCCTTGCAGAATTCACACTGTTCCGGCTACACAATGGTTTGCGAACAATTGAGCTGCCTATCCTTGCTTCTCTGAAATGTCAATGCTTTGCTATCTTGCTCTGCACTTGGCAAGGAAGGCTAAGCAGGCGATACGATCTCTTTAGATCCTGCGGGTAAAACAATCCTGCCCCTCTCCTTTGTGGAGGGAAAATGGGACACATTGAAAAGAGTCTTGAAGAGTGACCGCCTGGCAGAATTACTGGAGTGAGTCGGAGCCCTGGCATTGTATCTAAGCAACTGCATTCATTCTTTTAGGATGATAGTGATATAGCATACATCAGAGAGGATTGAAAGACCCACAAAGTTGTCGCAATCAGTTTGGTTACTGTTTTGTTCAGGTCTTCTGCCCCAAACTTTGGTTCTCCACATGTTTCAGACCAGCTCCCAGAATCCCTGACAGTTTGGAGTTGGTCTCAAACACCTAATGACCAAGAGAGGTCCAAAATGAGGCCAAATGGTATTAAGGAACCAAAAAGGAAGAGCAAACACTGCATAAACTGTGGCTAGTGCCGATACAGCAGGAGCCTGGGAGGAAGGGGCTGTTTAGTTAGTTTTTATTTTGTTTCTGGTGGAATCTTTCAGAAATTAATTTGTATTTGGGAATGTCACCATCTTCCCCTTCTGCAAAGACGTATACACCTTACTACCCAGGGGTTTTTTTTCTGTGCTGGAAGCGACTTGAGAAAATGCAAGTTGCTTCTGGTGTGAGAGAATTGGCTGTCTGAAAGAATATTGCCCAAATGTGTTACCATCCTGTGGGAGGCTTCTCTCATGTCCCTGCATGGGAAGCTGGAGCTGACAGGCGGGAGCTCACCCTGTCTCAGATTTACCACAGATCTTCAGGTCAGCAGTTCAGCCGGCACAAGAGTTTAACCCAGATAATGTTATTAAATCCATGGACATGATGTAAAAAAGCATAGAGCCAGACATTCCACTCTTGGGTTGTTGTAGGTTTTTTTCAGGCTGTATGGCCATACTCTAGAGGCATTCTCTCCTGACGTTTCGCCTGCATCTATGGCAAGCATCCTCAGAGGCCTCAGGCCCCTTCCTTTTCCCCCTCAGCCGCTTAAGTGGCTGAGGGGGAAAAGGAAGGGGCCTGAGGCTGTTAGGAATGGTGGGAGTTGGGAGTCCAAAACACCTGGAGGGCCCAAGTTGGCTCCCTGCCTACTTTAGAGTTTGACAAAACTTCAACTGCCAGGGCTCAATGCTATAGAATTGTAGCAGCTGTAGTCTGGTGAGGCCAAAGCACCTGGAGGGCCCAACTTGGCCCATACTTCTGCTTAAGCGGCTGAGGGGCAAAAGGAAAGGGCCTGAGGCTGTTAGGAACGATGGGAGTTGAAGTCCAAAGCACCTGGAGGGCCCAACTTGGCCCATACTTCTGCTTAAGCGGCTGAGGGGCAAATGGAAAGGGCCTGAGGCTGTTAGGAACGATGGGAGTTGAAGTCCAAAGCACCTGGAGGGCCCAACTTGGCCCATACTTCTGCTTAAGCGGCTGAGGGGCAAATGGAAAGGGCCTGAGGCTGTTAGGAACGATGGGAGTTGAAGTCCAAAGCACCTGGAGGGCCCAACTTGGCCCATACTTCTGCTTAAGCGGCTGAGGGGCAAACGGAAAGGGCCTGAGGCTGTTAGGAACGATGGGAGTTGAAGTCCAAAGCACCTGGAGGGCCCAACTTGGCCCATACTTCTGCTTAAGCGGCTGAGGGGCAAACGGAAAGGGCCTGAGGCTGTTAGGAACGATGGGAGTTGAAGTCCAAAGCACCTGGAGGGCCCAACTTGGCCCATACTTCTGCTTAAGCGGCTGAGGGGCAAAAGGAAAGGGCCTGAGGCTGTTAGGAACGATGGGAGTTGAAGTCCAAAGCACCTGGAGGGCCCAACTTGGCCCATACTTCTGCTTAAGCGGCTGAGGGGCAAATGGAAAGGGCCTGAGGCTGTTAGGAACGATGGGAGTTGAAGTCCAGAGCACCTGGAGGGCCCAACTTGGCCCACACTTCTGCTTAAGCGGCTGAGGGGCAAAAGGAAAGGGCCTGAGGCTGTTAGGAATGATGGGAGTTGAAGTCCAAAGCACCTGGAGGGCCCAACTTGGCCCATACTTCTGCTTAAGCGGCTGAGGGGCAAATGGAAAGGGCCTGAGGCTGTTAGGAACGATGGGAGTTGAAGTCCAAAGCACCTGGAGGGCCCAACTTGGCCCATACTTCTGCTTAAGCGGCTGAGGGGCAAATGGAAAGGGCCTGAGGCTGTTAGGAACGATGGGAGTTGAAGTCCAAAGCACCTGGAGGGCCCAACTTGGCCCATACTTCTGCTTAAGCGGCTGAGGGGCAAATGGAAAGGGCCTGAGGCTGTTAGGAACGATGGGAGTTGAAGTCCAGAGCACCTGGAGGGCCCAACTTGGCCCATACTTCTGCTTAAGCGGCTGAGGGGCAAAAGGAAAGGGCCTGAGGCTGTTAGGAACGATGGGAGTTGAAGTCCAAAGCACCTGGAGGGCCCAACTTGGCCCATACTTCTGCTTAAGCGGCTGAGGGGCAAAAGGAAAGGGCCTGAGGCTGTTAGGAACGATGGGAGTTGAAGTCCAAAGCACCTGGAGGGCCCAACTTGGCCCATACTTCTGCTTAAGCGGCTGAGGGGCAAACGGAAAGGGCCTGAGGCTGTTAGGAACGATGGGAGTTGAAGTCCAAAGCACCTGGAGGGCCCAACTTGGCCCATACTTCTGCTTAAGCGGCTGAGGGGCAAAAGGAAAGGGCCTGAGGCTGTTAGGAACGATGGGAGTTGAAGTCCAAAGCACCTGGAGGGCCCAACTTGGCCCATACTTCTGCTTAAGCGGCTGAGGGGCAAATGGAAAGGGCCTGAGGCTGTTAGGAACGATGGGAGTTGAAGTCCAGAGCACCTGGAGGGCCCAACTTGGCCCACACTTCTGCTTAAGCGGCTGAGGGGCAAAAGGAAAGGGCCTGAGGCTGTTAGGAACGATGGGAGTTGAAGTCCAGAGCACCTGGAGGGCCCAACTTGGCCCATACTTCTGCTTAAGCGGCTGAGGGGCAAAAGGAAAGGGCCTGAGGCTGTTAGGAACGATGGGAGTTGAAGTCCAAAGCACCTGGAGGGCCCAACTTGGCCCATACTTCTGCTTAAGCGGCTGAGGGGCAAATGGAAAGGGCCTGAGGCTGTTAGGAACGATGGGAGTTGAAGTCCAAAGCACCTGGAGGGCCCAACTTGGCCCATACTTCTGCTTAAGCGGCTGAGGGGCAAAAGGAAAGGGCCTGAGGCTGTTAGGAACGATGGGAGTTGAAGTCCAGAGCACCTGGAGGGCCCAACTTGGCCCATACTTCTGCTTAAGCGGCTGAGGGGCAAAAGGAAAGGGCCTGAGGCTGTTAGGAACGATGGGAGTTGAAGTCCAAAGCACCTGGAGGGCCCAACTTGGCCCATACTTCTGCTTAAGCGGCTGAGGGGCAAATGGAAAGGGCCTGAGGCTGTTAGGAACGATGGGAGTTGAAGTCCAAAGCACCTGGAGGGCCCAACTTGGCCCATACTTCTGCTTAAGCGGCTGAGGGGCAAAAGGAAAGGGCCTGAGGCTGTTAGGAACGATGGGAGTTGAAGTCCAAAGCACCTGGAGGGCCCAACTTGGCCCATACTTCTGCTTAAGCGGCTGAGGGGCAAAAGGAAAGGGCCTGAGGCTGTTAGGAACGATGGGAGTTGAAGTCCAAAGCACCTGGAGGGCCCAACTTGGCCCATACTTCTGCTTAAGCGGCTGAGGGGCAAACGGAAAGGGCCTGAGGCTGTTAGGAACGATGGGAGTTGAAGTCCAAAGCACCTGGAGGGCCCAACTTGGCCCATACTTCTGCTTAAGCGGCTGAGGGGCAAATGGAAAGGGCCTGAGGCTGTTAGGAACGATGGGAGTTGAAGTCCAGAGCACCTGGAGGGCCCAACTTGGCCCATACTTCTGCTTAAGCGGCTGAGGGGCAAAAGGAAAGGGCCTGAGGCTGTTAGGAACGATGGGAGTTGAAGTCCAGAGCACCTGGAGGGCCCAACTTGGCCCATACTTCTGCTTAAGCGGCTGAGGGGCAAAAGGAAAGGGCCTGAGGCTGTTAGGAATGATGGGAGTTGAAGTCCAGAGCACCTGGAGGGCCCAACTTGGCCCATACTTCTGCTTAAGCGGCTGAGGGGCAAAAGGAAAGGGCCTGAGGCTGTTAGGAACGATGGGAGTTGAAGTCCAAAGCACCTGGAGGGCCCAACTTGGCCCATACTTCTGCTTAAGCGGCTGAGGGGCAAAAGGAAAGGGCCTGAGGCTGTTAGGAATGATGGGAGTTGAAGTCCAAAGCACCTGGAGGGCCCAACTTGGCCCATACTTCTGCTTAAGCGGCTGAGGGGCAAAAGGAAAGGGCCTGAGGCTGTTAGGAATGATGGGAGTTGAAGTCCAAAGCACCTGGAGGGCCCAACTTGGCCCATACTTCTGCTTAAGCGGCTGAGGGGCAAACGGAAAGGGCCTGAGGCCTCTGAGGATATTTGCCATAAATGCAGGCAAAATATCAGGAGAGAATGCCTCTAGAACATGGCCATACAGCCCGAAAAAAACCTACAACAACCCAGTGATTCCGGCCATGAAAGCCTTCGACAAGACATTCCTCTCTTTTTGCACAAGGTGATGGAAAGCAACCTGCATTTGAAGATTTGACATGTATGCATGTATATGTACTCCCTGGTCAATCTTGCACATACATGCCTTCCCTCTCTGGACGACAAAGCACTTAAGGTTACACATTTATTTACAAGTAATTGAAAAATGTACAGTTTCTTACAGGGGTTACTTGTGCAAAGTTGTTCTCAAGAGATCAATGTATACAGACACTGGAAGAGCAGACAAAACACATGGATCGGTCGGCCTCCTCCCAAACTGCTGCTTGAAGGTGTCCGAAATGTACAAACTGAGCTTTACGCACGCACACACACAAAAAAATGCTTTTGCAAAGGGAAGAACGGAGGGAAGAGAAGGGAGAGAGAAGGAGGCATGCAAGAGGGCTTTCTTTACTCCTCTCTCCTCCCGATAGAACATAAAAGCAGTGGCATCTGGTGACCTCCTCCTTCTTCTGCAACAGAGGTAGGCATTAAAAGTCCTAAAATCAAAAGAGATGTTTCCAAAGCGATCCGGTGTCCCAAATTTACTATTAAGCCAAGCAACAGAACTCCCAATCCCTTCTCTGAAATTATCCGCTCCACTGGGCCATTCCAACAGATGAAAATAGTCCCACGGAAAAGGATACGGAGCATTCCGCCTCGAGCGTGTTGTCATGTCACACGCGCAAAAGGCTCCGCACGACACCCAACCCTCTTTCCCCCTCCCTCACACCCTCATCTTCTCCAGGCAGTTTGCAATTCGGAATATGTTTCGCCACACCGAGGAATAGAAAAGAATGAGAAAGAGCAAGGGATTCTTTGCGCCGTATTTACAGATGCCCCGAAAAATCGATACCAGCATTTAAATGACCAGCCCGGACAGATCCGCATTCAAGTCATAGTTAAAAACGTATATTGTGTGTGTGTGTGTGTGTGTGAACATCCCTTCTTTTTGTTGTTGTTGTTGTGTTTTAAACCACGCTACACGTAAGCAGCATCACTGTGTATAACACAATCACGATTAAAAGCGTACAGAAATGCACAACGCTGCTGCCCTGAAGACCGGAAGTGGGAGGAAGACCAAGACAGCCTCAGCAACTCTGTTACAAGTAACCCGCGTACAGTACATTTGACCTGGAAGAGGGGCCGGGAAGGGAAGATAAGGAGGGGGGTGCGCTCTCGATGATGTCCGAGGAGAGAGAGGGAAGAGAAAGAGAGAGAAGCGTCAGCAAAGGGCGGCGGGTGGTGGCGGCGGCGGCGACGGCACAACAGCTATTTTGCTCTCAAAAGGGAGGAATGCAGTGATGCGAGGAGGAGGAGGAGCAGGAGGATGAGTCAGACACTTCATACATGTATTTTTTTCCCCTCAGAGTGTTCATTTGCATCATCCAGGGTCAACAGTCGCGCCAACTCTGTTCGACTATCGCGGACACCCGTTTCTCGTACTCCCGCTTGTTCTCTTGGTATAGCTGGGCGGCCTGGCTGTTTGCTGGGCTGTTTGGGTTGGGCTCGTCCAGTAGAGACTGTCGGGGGAATAAAGGGCAAGATCAGGCTTCGGAGAAGAGAAACAGACACTCCTGGGAACGCATTTCAGAAGACCCCCCCCCCCCTGTAAACCCTTGATCCAGCTTCCTGAATGTCAAGGCTACAATAATAATAATAATAATAATAATAATAATAATAATAATAATAATAATAATATTAATCTTTATTTGTATCCCACCCCTCTCCCCAAAGGGACTCGGGGCAGCTTATAGCAAAATAAACAAATGCAGTAAATGTACAGGAACGCATTTCAGAAGACCCCCCCCCCCCCTGTACACACCTAGCTCCAGCATAGAAGAGCTCTTTGCCCCACCACAGCCATTCCACAGATATATAAACCCATTGTCCTAATTCCAACAGACCTCACTACCTCTGAGGATGCTTGCCATAGATGCAGGCGAAACGTCAGGAAAAAATGCCTCTAGAACATGGCCCTATAGCCCGAAAAAACCCACAAGAACCTAGTGATTCCAGCCATGAAAGCCTTCGACAATACATCATCATCTTTATTTGTATCCCACCCCCCTTGTAAATCCTTCATCCAGCTGCCTGAATGTCAAGGCTACAATAATAATAATAATAATAATAATAATAATAATAATAATTGTATCCCACCCCCTCTCCCCAAAGGGACTCGGGGCGGCTTACAGCAAAACAAACAAGTGCAGTAAACGTACAGGAACACATTTCAGAAGACCCCTCCCCCCTTGTAAACCCTTCATCCAGCTGCCTGAACGTCAAGGCTACAATAATAATAATAATAATAATAATAATAATAATCATAATAAATCTTTATTTGTATCCCACCCCCTCTCCGCAAAGGGACTCGGGGCGGCTTACAGCAAAACAAACAAGTGCAGCAAAACAAACATGTACAGGAACACATTTCAGAAGACCCCCCCCCCTTGTAAACCCTTCATCCAGCTGCCTGAATGTCAAGGCTACAATAATAATAATAATAATTATTATTATTATTATTATTATTATTATTATTTATTTGTATCCCACCCCTCTCCCCAAAGGGACTCAGGTGGCTTACAGCAAAACAAACAAGTGCAGTAAACGTACAGGAACACATTTCAGAAGACCCCTCCCCCCTTGTAAACCCTTCATCCAGCTTCCTGAATGTCAAGGCTACAATAATAATAATAATAATCTTTATTTGTATCCCACCCCCTCTCCCCAAAGGGACTCGGGGAGGCTTACAGCAAAACAAACGAATGCAGTAAATGTACAGGAACGCATTTCAGAAGACCCCCCCCCCCCCTGTAAACCCTTCATCCAGCTTCCTGAATGTCAAGGCTACAATAATAATATTAATATTAATAATAATAATAATAATAATAATGACAATAATAATCTTTATTTGTATCCCACCCTCTCTCCCCAAAGGGACTCGTGGCGGCTTATAGCAAAACAAACGAATACAGTAAATGATATAACACAGACAATAATCACACATCACTCAATAGAAACACACACAATAGTGTGAACCTAAACAGTTTAATCAATAGAAAAAACACAATAGTGTAAAAATAAACAGTTCAAAATACTATTTAGCCCTCTAAAAACTATACACACACATACGCACACACACACACACCATTTAAGACCAGCCAATTCCCATGATCAGGGTGAATTATAGTTCTAATAACCATTTAAAATCCTGCCCAATAAGGTGGTTGATACTCTTAGCCATTACCAAAAGCCTGCTTAAATAACCAGGTTTTCAATTCCTTCCTGAAAGTTATGAGGGTGGGTGCTTGTCTAATCCACTCTTCTCTATACAGAAAAGGCAATAATCACATAATCAATCAATTAAAAAGAACACAATAGTGTAGACATAAATAAACAGTTCAAAAGACAAGAACCCTAAAACCTCTAAAAATACACATACACACACACATACGTCATTTAAAACCAGGGTATCCAGCATTCTATATTATAGTTCTAATAACATTTACACTACGGGAAGGTAATGGCGCTCCAAGCAGTCATGCCAGCCGTCATGCCTTTCCCTTAACCATTTAAATTCCTGCCCAGAGTATCAAAGGGGGTTGATACTCTTAGCTTACTGTCTATGTATTTAAATCACACCTAGCACAGCTAGACCTGTTTTTAAGGACCAAAATGCCACGGTCTTTGCTCCTGGAAGCACAAAGGGTAGGCCTCCCTCATGTACTCACTAACTGAGTTATAAATGTCATTTGCTAATTGGGTCTACCATAAAAACATAGAAAAAGTTTATTAAACTGCAAACAGGAAGGATACTACTAGGGTAATGTGGTCATATGCCGTGTTGCCGCTCATTAATCACACTGAATTAGAAAAGAATGGGACGGCTAATATTAATTTTTTATGCTACCTTTCCCACCAGAGTGGAATCCAAGACTGTATCCAAAAAACGTGTTCCATTCCATTTAAAACAATTCAAGATCGTATCATATGCTTTCCAGAGGAAATTAAAGACATTGCCCAAGAAGAAATAATGGTGGAGGCCCCTCTGCTCATGCCTAAGAGCGACTGCTGTTTTGGCCAGAAACGTACACAAAGTCAGCTGAAGTGGTTACCTGTATCGATGTTAGGATGGAAGACACATCATAGGTAGGACTCCAACGATTCTGAAGTATATCCAGACATATACTACCATCTGCATAGACTACAAAAGGAGATAGTAAATGGGTTTCATTGCACACAACACACTTGCCTGGTAGCCTTCCCACCCCGCTTGGTCACACTGCTGCCTCACTTCTAAGGACTTCACAACTATGCTTAGGAAGGAGGTCTCTGCGTGGTTATTTCAAACCAGGGTTAAGCAGCAGGGATACGATTCCTTTCAAAGATCTTTGCAACTGAGCTTAATAACGAGGACATATAGATATCTAGCATGAACAATACACTGTTAAGAACTATCAAAAACTCAGGCACGGCTCTGCAGAACCTGAGCCATGGATGATGAAGTTCCTTGCAAATGCCATATATATACTCCAGTATAAGCCCAGTTTTCCAGCCCTTTTTAGGCTGAAAAAGCCTCCCTCGAGTCAAAGTGATTTATTATTTTATATATTTAATAGTATTATTATTAGTATTACATTTATTATTTTACTCTATTATTATTACATTTCCATTATTTTACTCTATTATTATTTTTATTACATTATTTTACTCTATTATTATTTTTATTACATTATTTTACTCTATTACTGTTATTACATTTCCATTATTATATTATTATTATTATTATTACATTTATTATTTTACTTTATTATTATTACATTTATTTTACTCTATTATTATTTATTTTACTCTATTACTGTTATTACATTTATTATTTTATTCTATTTATTATTATCACATTTATTATTTTACTTTATTCTTGTTATTATTACATATATTATTTTACTCTATTTTTATTATAATCACTTTATTATTTTACTTTATTATTATTACATTTATTTTATTCTATTTAATATTATTCTATTTATTATTTTACTTTATTCTTATTATTATGTTTATTATTTTACTCTATTATTACATATATTATTTTACTCTATTATTATTACAATTATTATTTTACTTTATTCTTGTTATTACGTTTATTATTTTTCTCTATTATTATTACATATATTATTTTACTGTATTATTATGATGATTACATTTATTTTACTCTATTATTTATTTTACTCTATTATTATTACATTTATTATTTTACTTTATTATTGTTATCATTACATTTATTATTTTACTCTATTATTATTATATATATTATTTTACACTCCTATTGGAAGGATACGTAAACACATTTACATTGAAGGAGGTGGGAATAATGGTTTAAACAGAGTTGGACAGTGATCTTAAATTACAGTTTTATGTAAATATTCAAAAACATTTAACCTACGGATGTCTCAATTAATGTAATTGTATTGGTATCTATTTTTATTTTGAAATTTACCAGGAGCTGCTGCATTTTCCACTTTTGTCTTTTTTTTTGGTAAAATTAGGTGCCTTGGCTTATACTCGAGTATATACGAGATAGATAATCCGCAACTAGTCTGCTACCACTACCACCGCTGCACAAATGGACTGCTGTTGTTTTTTTATATAGAGAAGTGTACATACCATTCGGATGAAACATTTTAGACACAAATCTAACAGTAGGTGGCTTGTTTGGATATTCTTCTGTGAATTCTATGGTAAGCTTGAACGTTCCTGCAATTGACAGAGTCAGGGTCTAAGTACCTCGGTCACGGAGCCATCCAAACGTCCCCCTTTCCCCTCTGAGAGCGATCTCAATTAAGACCCACCCATTTCCCTGGATTGCAAGAGAAACAAGGGCTAGCCCAGCACTCTGTTCATTATATAATAATAATTAAGGGGTTTGAAGCCAGAGAATCGTTATCCAAGGAGTCCTAATAGTCAGACATAGGTGGCAAGGCAAGAATCCTGGAGGAGCAGGAAAGGTTTGAGAGGGAAGGAGAAAGAAAAGAAAGAGAAAGGAGGACAGTGGGAAAGAGAGATTGTGGATGATACACAGGCCACTGGCTGGGATCAGATAAACAGGCAAGAGTAGGAACCAATGGCAAGGTTCATAAATATACAGGAGAGCGAAGGATTGAAAGGCTATCACAATGCAAACATGCACAAAAGTTCTGGCCAAGGGCAACAAGGACCATTTTAATAGTTGCTAATAATAATAATAATAATACACTTTATTTATAACCCGCTACCATCTCTGCAAAGGGGACTCGGTGCGGCTAAGCCCAAAATAATACAACATAATAAACAACAGTAACAAAATACATCATAACAAAATATAAAATAACAAAATCAACAATATAAAACAGCATATTAAATCCAGACATGGCGGGTGGGCCAAATGTTAAAAAAGTTAAAAATCTGGGTGAGATAGGGATAAAAGTGCATTTGTAGGAAAGTAGCCCAACAGGGAGGAACCATGGGATTTAGCCATTTGGGGGGAGGGGGGGTTGCTAATGGCAGGAGCAATGCACTGTGTAACTGGAACCGTTCTCCTGCACATGTCCTGAGGCCTGGTGATGAGAAGCACACTTCCTGCAGTTAAGTCTATTCACTAGTAACGCAAATTTACATGATTCAAAGACAACCGAGCGCCTTCTCTCTCTCAGGGGCAAAGGTCAAGGGGATGCAAAAAATGGTTCTGTTTATATGCTACCCAGATTCATGAAATGCTAATTAATGTGGGATTCACACAAATCACGCCTATGGCATACGGTTCATGCTTACCATCTTCGAATGGGGTTCCCTCCGGCCTGAAAGAAGAAAGCGCATGTCAGCACCCCACGGGTCTTTGGCTACAATCAGTTAATGGCTGAACTCCTAAGTTGCTGCAAAACGTCACGCAGATCAATCATACACACTCCCAACATGCACGCAAGTATCAGAATTAGCAATGGCATTAAACCTAAGCAGCCTCACCATTTCTACACCTAGTTATACTATGATAAATAACTGCTACTTAAGTCACCCACTAGGATGCCATAATCTCCCCTGTGTTTTTTACTCTTTGCAAAGGAAAGATACATGTATGACCCAACTGTGCAATTCTGTCATCGCCAGATGCACTGTTAAGACATCAATAGGCCTGATCGGACTCTTTAATGACACGTGAATGAACTCAAGTATTTAAACTCCCCTCTCTGAAAGATACCAAAGCCATGGTACTTTTAAGCAGCACTTCCTTGTACAATTGCATTGCAGAGGGAGATACGCACAAGGAAAGGAAGGACATGGGATGAAAGAAATGCACCAGGTATCTCTCTCCATGAAAGAACCTTCAGAAATATTAAACATTAATTAGGTATTTTAATTACAAAAATGTGAGTCAAGCACTGAAAGGCTTAAATTGATGCAACGATTCAGCAAAACCTGCAGTTCTATATAAGCAGGTGTGCCTGTAGCTTAGATGCAGTCAGTCTGAGGTAAACCTCAGTGGGAGAAAGGCCTCAGTCTGAGACAGCCCTCAGTGCGAGAAGCTTTGGTTAGCGGAAGCCCCAGGTTAAAGGCCATTGTGTATGAAGCTTCAGTGTGAAGGGTACTGTGTGTGTAAAGCTCCTGTGTAATTTCGGTGTAAGAAGAGGCTCTGTGAGAGTGAAGCTGTTTATCTGCATGAGAAAGAAGCCCAGCGTGGAAGCAAAGAAGGAAGTACAAAGAACTTTATTTGTGTTATGGAAACCTTGTTCTTGTAAATAGTGCAACCATATTATTTTACTAAAAAGAAAAGCCTCCTAAGGAAGAGATAACATTGGTCTGTGTGTTTTTGGTCTTTTTATCACTTTGGGCTACTGGTGCTGGGTCACACTGCTGCTAAGTTACTCTCCTGTGCATTTATGAGGAGGGTATTTCTTATTAAGCCCACTCATCCAACAAGAAATGCACCAGATATCTTTTATAGGTATCTATAAAACAGGAATAACTTGATACATTTTGAAGCTAGCCCCCAAGTTTGCAGACCCAGTCAGTCTGAGGTAAACCTCAGTGGGAGAAAGGCCTCAGTCTGACACAGCCCTCAGTGTGAGAAGCTTAGGTTAGAGGAAGCCCCAGGTTAAAGGCCATTGTGTATGAAGCTTCAGTGTGAAGGGTACTGTGTGAAAAGCTACTGTATAAAGCTGCTGTATAACTTCAGTGTGTGAAGAGGCTCTGTGAGAGCAAAGCTGTTTATCTGCATGAGAAAGAAGCCCAGCGTGGAAGCAAAGAAGGAAGTACAAAGAACTTTATTTGTGTTATGGAAACCTTGGTCTTGTAAATAGTGCAACCATATTATTTTACTAAAAAGAAAAGCCTCCTAAGGAAGAGACAACATTGGTCTGTGTGTTTTTGGTCTTTTTATCACTTTGGGCTACTAGTGCTGGGTCACACTGCTGCTAAGTTACTCTGTTGTGCATTTATGAGGAGGGTCTTTTCTTAGTAATCCCATTCATCCAACAAGAAATGCACCAGCTATCTTTCATAGGTATCTATGAAACAGGAATAACTTGATACATTTTGAAGCTAGCCCCCCTACTTTTCAGACCCACAACATCAGACCAAAATGTGTTAATTGTAAAGGACAGCCCTACATTCAAGGTTTGGGACAGGCAAAAAAGTGGTTTTTCACCCAGGAACAATTCCTCAAGAGATTTCCTAGCAATCCCTCTGCTAAGAGATGAATGCCAACGACAGAGGACCTACTGAACATGTCTGAAACTTCCCTGCAAAACACAGTCAAGGAAAAGCAAGTGGTCCATTCTTTGGTGTAGTTTCAGACCCAACAGTATATGAAGACCACTTTCCAGACTTAGTGTTATTTCAGATTGAGCATTCTGTGAGAAAAAGTACTATAGTAAACAATTCACAAATGCTGAGAGAGTGTTCAACAGACAAGCCACTATTTCTGGGAGGGCAATTGTTTCGTTCCTTGGAATAACAACAATGTGAGACAGAAGGATTACATAATGTAACATGGTTTTTGTTCCTGGGTGATCAATGTCATTTCCTAATTGGTTCTATCTTTTAAAAAAAACATGGGAAAGGTTTGTTAAACTGCCAAAATGTTGTTTCTGTGGGAGGAAAATTCTGCTATAGCACATTTTGCTCTAGTTCTTCAATGAATAGAGTCTCAACCAATTCAACCTAGTTTGTGGCAGCCACAAAACAAAGTTCCTGGAGTAAAACAACTACTTCGCACAATGAAACAGGAAATCATACTTTCATACGAGGGACAGAACATTTTTCAAATTTTGTTACATAGTATTATTGTAATTTGTACTCCTTGCAGGTCGCAAGGAATGCTTTTCATACTTGCTTATGGTAAAAGGAAAATGGCCTCTGAGCATGCAATAATGTCCTTTCCTTTGGGATTGTGGTCCAAAACAAAGGTGGCATTTACAGCAGACTTTTCTTCACTGGATTATTAATTACACTATGTAACAAAATATGAAATGCTCTGTTCCTGGTTTGAAAGCGTCTCTTATTAGAACAGGGTTTGCCTAATGGAGGCCTTTTCCTCACCCAAAAATTACTGCATTCCAGACCATGATGTTGTTCTCCGAAGGGGCGCCGCTAACTCCAGCTGGAGGGTCTTCCTGCAGCCTTTAAACAAAAAGAAAATACATAAATAATTAATATATGAAAAGAGACTCTCAGTTTCAAAGTCTAGAAAGGAAAGGATGCTAAATTAAATAATATTATAATAAAAAGGCTCTCAACAATAAAGTCTCGATATTAATAATAGAATATAGTAATGATAATAACTCTCACAATAATATATAATAATAATAATAATAATAATAATAATAATAATAATAAAAGAAGACTCTCAATGGCAAGGCCTAGTAAGGAAAGGATAGTAATAATTATATAGTATAATAATATAAAATAATATAATAATGAGAACGACTCTCAATAATACCAAAATAATATAATGTTGATATAATATAATAGTGTGATCCAATACAACAGCCAGCAATCTTGTTTGCTGTGTACTAATCTTGTTGTGTATCAAATAATCATAGTATACCAATATTAAATAAGCATATAGAATAAAATAATAATTAAAATGCTCTCATAATTATATAATAGACCAAATAATAAAATAAAACTCTCACAATAACTATACACACACATATATAAAATGGGCTCAATAATATAATAATAAATCGTTCATAATAATAAGACTCCCAAAATGAAATATAATATGATATTCCCAATAATAAAATAAAAGACACCCCCCATAGATTACAATATAATAAAATAAAAGTATAATATTATAAGACCCAATCATAATAGGAATAATAATAAAGACTCTCATAATAATAATATTAATAATATTATTAATAAAATACTATCATAACAATATAATTATAATAATATAATAATAGACTCCCAATAATTATGTAATAATATAATATGATATAGTATATAAGACTCAATAATAATAGTAATAAGATAATATTATAAAGTAAGACACTCATAATAATAATAATAATAATAATAATAATAATAATAATAATATATTAATAATAATATAATATAACAATAAGAAGACCCTGAGTAATATAATAATAATGATATAATAATATAAGAAGTCTCTGAGTGGCAAGGCCTAGCAAGGAGATATATAAGACTCAATAATAATAGTAATGATAAGATAATATTATAAAATAAAGACTCATAATAATAATAGATTAATAAGAATATAATATAATAAGAAGAAGACGCTGAGTAATATAATAATGATATAATAATAATAATATATCTCTGAGTGGCAAGGCCTAGCAAGGAGATATATTATATAAGACTCAATAAGATATTATAAAATAAGACTCTAATAATAATAATAATAATAATAATCTAAGAAGTCTCTGAGTGGCAAGGCCTAGCAAGGAGATATATTATATAAGACTCAATAATAATAGTAATGATAAGATAATATTATAAAATAAAGACTGATAATAATAATATATTAATAATAATACAATATAACAATAAGAAGACGCTGAGTAATATAATAATAATGATATAATAATATAAGAAGTCTCTTATATTATAAGAGACTTCTAAATAAGACTCTAATAATAATAATAATAATAATAATAATAATAATATAATAATATAAGAAGTCTTTGAGTGGCAAGGCCTAGCAAGGAGATATATTATATAAGACTCAATAATAATAGTAATAAGATAATATTATAAAATAAGACTCTAATAATAATAATAATATATTGATAATAATATAATATAATAATAAGAGGCTGAGTAATATAATAATAGTGATATACTAATAAGATAATATTACAAAATAAAGACTCATAATAATAATAGATTAATAATAATATAATATAACAATAAGAAGAGGCTGAGTAATATAATAATAATGATAAAATAATATAAGAAGTCTCTGAGTGGCAAGGCCTAGCAAGGAGATATATTACATAAGACTCAATAATAATAGTAATAAGATAATATTATAAAATAAGACTCTAATAATAATAATAATAATATTGATAATAATATAATATAATAATAAGAGGCTGAGTAATATAATAATAATAATAATAATAATATAATAATAATAATAATATATGAAGTCTGAGTGGCAGGGCCTAGCAAGGAGATATATAAGACTCAATAATAATAGTAATGATAAGATAATATTATAAAATAAAGACTCATAATAATAATAGATTAATAATATAACATAATAATAAGAGGCTGAGTAATGTAATAATAATGCTATAATAATAATAATCATATAGGAAGTCTCTGAGTGGCAAGGCCTAGCAAGGAAAGGCTACGCCAAGTGCGTAAGCCGCTGTGGTGCCGGGCTCCCCATTGGCTGCCGGGCGCGCGTTACGCCAAGAGCGCGGTGGCTACGCAGTTGGCGCAGCGTTCCCCCGCCCGGCCGCCATGTTGTCTCTCCTCCTCCTGAGGGCTCCTTCTCCTCCGTCTCGGCCCGACCCGCTCCCTTTCCCGGGCCCAATCCCCTCGCCGCCCGGCCGCGCTGACCGTTTGAAGTCCCGCATGAGGCGCCTCCGGGCGGGCGTGGACATGGCGGGCTCTCGGCCAGGCGTCGCTCGCACTCCGCTCGCTCGGCTCCTCGCCTCGACACTGGCGCTCCCGACGCGGCCGGCGCCCCTAATCCCGCAGTGGTCGCGCCCGCCGCGCCTGCTCCCTCCACGCCGGACCGCACCACTGCTCTCGCCAAACAGGGGGGCACGGAATGGGACAATAAACAGGCAAGGGGCGGGGCCAGGGGCCGGCGAATCACATCGCGGGAAGGACACAAAGGGGCGTGGCTTCCGCAGGCTTGGGAAAGGCAGCGCTCGCAGCCGTGACGTCATCCGCTCTGGGCGATACCAACAAGCGGGCGAATAAAGGGGGGGAAATAGGTGGAAGGAACCATAATAGTCATGGCATAGAATGGCGCAGGGGAAGCTTCTCTTCTATAATAATAACAATAATAATTATTATAATAAATATAATATATAATATAATAGTACAGGGATGGCTTCTCTTCTAAAATAATATAATACACAGGCAAGAGGCGGGGCTAGCGGCCAGCGAATCACATCGCGGGAAGGACACAAAGGGGCGTGGCTTCCGCAGCCTTGGAAAGAGAGCCCTGACGTCATCCTTTCTGAGCGATACCAACAAGCGGGTGAATAAAGGGGGGGAAATAGGTGGAAGGAACCATAATAGCCATGGCATAGAATACTGCAGGGGGAGCTAATAATAATAAATAGAATAATAATAATAATAATAATAATAATAATAATAATAATAATAATAATAATAATAATAATAATAATGATAATGATGATGATGATGATGATGATAATTAATATGGTAGTGCATAAATAGAAAAATATAATATAATTGTGCAGGGGAAACAATAATAATAATAATACATATAATAGTAACAAATATATTAGTGCAGAGGAAGCTTCTCTTCTAAAATAAATATAATAATAATATATATATTTGCTCAGGGGGAACTCTTTTTCTATGATAATCAAAATATTGTAATAATAATATAGTGCAGGGGTAGCTTCTCTTCTAAAATAATAATAATAATAAATATAATAATGATAATGAATATGGCAGTGCAGGGAAGCTTCTCTTCTGAAATAATAATAATAAGAAGAAGAATATGATTGTGCAGGGAAGCTTCTCTTTTAAAATAATAATAATTATAATAAATATATAATAATAAATATATAAATTACATGGAACACTTTGAAGAACAAGCCCTGGAGACAGCAACCAAAAAGCCCACGATATGGTTCAGAGATGTGGATGACACCTTCACCATTTGGAGCCATGGAGAAGAAGAACTCAACAGGTTCCTGGACCATCTCAACAGCATCCACCCAAACATATGGTTCAGAGATGTGGATGACACCTTCACCATTTGGAGCCATGGAGAAGAAGAACTCAACAGGTTCCTGGACCATCTCAACAGCATCCACCCAAACATATGGTTCAGAGATGTGGATGACACCTTCACCATTTGGAGCCATGGAGAAGAAGAACTCAACAGGTTCCTGGAGCATCTCAACAGCATCCACCCAAACATATGGTTCAGAGATGTGGATGACACCTTCACCATTTGGAGCCATGGAGAAGAAGAACTCAACAGGTTCCTGGACCATCTCAACAGCATCCACCCAAACATATGGTTCAGAGATGTGGGTGACACCTTCACCATTTGGAGCCATGGAGAAGAAGAACTCAACAGGTTCCTGGACCATCTCAACAGCATCCACCCAAACATATGGTTCAGAGATGTGGGTGACACCTTCACCATTTGGAGCCATGGAGAAGAAGAACTCAACAGGTTCCTGGACCATCTCAACAGCATCCACCCAAACATATGGTTCAGAGATGTGGGTGACACCTTCACCATTTGGAGCCATGGAGAAGAAGAACTCAACAGGTTCCTGGACCATCTCAACAGCATCCACCCAAACATATGGTTCAGAGATGTGGGTGACACCTTCACCATTTGGAGCCATGGAGAAGAAGAACTCAACAGGTTCCTGGACCATCTCAACAGCATCCACCCAAACATATGGTTCAGAGATGTGGGTGACACCTTCACCATTTGGAGCCATGGAGAAGAAGAACTCAACAGGTTCCTGGACCATCTCAACAGCATCCACCCAAACATATGGTTCAGAGATGTGGGTGACACCTTCACCATTTGGAGCCATGGAGAAGAAGAACTCAACAGGTTCCTGGACCATCTCAACAGCATCCACCCAAACATATGGTTCAGAGATGTGGGTGACACCTTCACCATTTGGAGCCATGGAGAAGAAGAACTCAACAGGTTCCTGGACCATCTCAACAGCATCCACCCAAACATATGGTTCAGAGATGTGGGTGACACCTTCACCATTTGGAGCCATGGAGAAGAAGAACTCAACAGGTTCCTGGACCATCTCAACAGCATCCACCCAAACATATGGTTCAGAGATGTGGGTGACACCTTCACCATTTGGAGCCATGGAGAAGAAGAACTCAACAGGTTCCTGGACCATCTCAACAGCATCCACCCAAACATATGGTTCAGAGATGTGGGTGACACCTTCACCATTTGGAGCCATGGAGAAGAAGAACTCAACAGGTTCCTGGACCATCTCAACAGCATCCACCCAAACATATGGTTCAGAGATGTGGGTGACACCTTCACCATTTGGAGCCATGGAGAAGAAGAACTCCACAGGTTCCTGGACCATCTCAACAGCATCCACCCAAACATATGATTCAGAGATGTGGGTGACACCTTCACCATTTGGAGCCATGGAGAAGAAGAACTCCACAGGTTCCTGGACCATCTCAACAGCATCCACCCAAACATCCAGTTCACCATGGAAAAAGAAAATGAAGGAAGACTGCCTTTTCTAGATGTCCTAGTCATCCGCAAACCAGATCAACAATTGGGTCACACCGTTTACAGAAAACCCACACACACAGATAGATATCTACATAAAAACTCCAACCATCACCCAAGTCAAAAAAGAAGCACCATTAAAGCCTTGGCAGACCGTGCAAAAAGAATCTGCGAACCCCACCTCCTCCAAGATGAACTGAACCACCTCAACTGGGCTCTCCAGGCCAATGGATACTCCACCTCAGACATCAGAAGAGCTGCAAGACCAAGAACAAGCCACGAGAGTCAAGATGAAGATCCACCCAGAGGAAAAGTGTTCCTGCCATACATCAAGGGAACCACTGACCGCATAGGGAAGCTGATGAGGAAACACAACATACAAACAATCTACAAACCCACCAAGAAAATCCAACAAATGCTCCGTTCAGCAAAGGACAAGAGGGATCCTCTCACCTCTGCAGGAGTCTACCGTGTACCATGCAGCTGTGGACAAGTCTACATAGGGACCACCAAACGCAGCTGCCCAGACACGCATCAAGGAACATGAAAGGCACTGCAGACTACTTCAACCAGAGAAGTCAGCCATAGCAGAGCACCTGATAAACCAGCCTGGACACAGCATATTATTTGAGAACACAGAAATGCTGGACCACTCTCACAACCACCATGTCAGACTACACAGAGAAGCCATTGAAATCCACAAAGCATGTGGACAATTTCAACAGAAAGGAAGAGACCATGAAAATGAACAAAATCTGGCTACCAGTATTAAAAAACTCTAAAATTACAACAGCAAAACAGCAGAGAGGAAACAACCAGGCACATCTTAACACCTCTCAACAAAAGATTTTCCCAGGCTCAGCCAGGCCTTCAAATGCTAATGAAGGTGGTCAGTTGAAACATTCACACCTAGCTCCAGCAGAGAAGAGCTCTTTGCCCCACCCCAGCCATTGTCCTAATTCCAACAGACCTCACTACCTCTGAGGATGCTTGCCATAGATGCAGGCGAAACGTCAGGAGAAATGCCTCTAGAACATGGCCCTATAGCCCGAAAAAACTCACAAGAACCTAAATATATAAATATAATATAATTGTGCAGGGGAAACTTCTCTTCTGAAACAATAATAATACATATAATAATAATAAATATAATAGTGCAGAGGAAGCTTCTCTTCTAAAATAAATATAAATATAATAATAAATATAGTTGCTCAGCGGGATCTTTTTTTCTATGATGATGATGATGATAATAATAATAATAATAATATTTATTTATTGTGTCAGGAGTGAACCAAATAATAATAATAATAATAATAATAATAATCAAAATATAATAATAATAATAATAATAATAATAATAATAATAATAATAATAATAAAAAAAGGGCAGGAGTAGCTTCTCTTCTAAAATAATAATCTATATAAATAAAAATGTAATGTTTGTTCGTGCTACCATCAGAACTCAAAAACCACTGGGGGAATTGACACCAAATTTGGACACAAGACACCTAACAACCCAGTGTATGTCCTTCACTCAAAAAAATTGATTTTGTCATTTGGGAATTGTCGTTGCTGGGATTTATAGTTTACCCACCATCAAAGAGCATTCTGAACTCCACCAAAGATGGAATTGGGCCAAACTTAGCACACAGGGCTCCCATGACCAACAGAAACAACTGGAAGGGTTTGGTGGACATTGACCTTGAGTTTGGGAATTGTAGTTCACCCACATTCAGAGAGCACTGTGGACTCAAACAATGATGGATCTGGACCAAACTTGGCACGAATATTCCATATGCCCAAATATGAACACAGATGGAGTTTAAGGGAAATAGACCTTGACATTTGGGAGTTGTAGTTGCTGGGATTTATAGTTCACCTACAATCAAAGAGCATTCTGAACTCCACCAATGATGGAATTGAACCAAACATGGCATACAGGACTTCCATGACCAACAGAACACACTGGAAGGGTTTTGGGCATTGACCTTGAGTTTGGGAGTTGTAGTTCACCTACATCCAGAGAGCACTGTGGACTCAAACAATGATGGATCTGGACCAAACTTGACACAAAAATTCCATATGCCTAAATATGAACACAGATGGAGTTTGGAGGAAATAGACCTTGATATTTGGGATTTGTAGTTACTGGGATTTATAGTTCACTACAATTAAAGAGCATTCTGAAACCCACAAACGACAGAAATGGGGCAAACTTCCCACACAGAACCCCCATGACCAACAGAAAATACTTAAGGCCATCCAGTCCAACTCTCTTCACCAGGGCAAGAAAATGTAATCAGAGCCCTCCTGACAAAGAGCCATCCAGTCATAAATATAGATAGA